TTGTATTCTTTGCTTTATTTAATCTCGAATGCGATCCGGGTTGCCTTCGCTGCCACCGAGAATTAAGTCCGGCGATATGAAACTTGTTCTGCAGGCTTCGAGGGGAATTCCGAGGCTTGGGGATCGATGTGAGGGCCTTGGGCAAGATGGCTGCCGCGGCAGCGGTGGGTGGAGCTTCGTCGGCAACAACATTGATCCAATGCTTTCTGTATAATGAGGTTCAGCGCCTGTGCCTTGCGCGATACTGCCCGGCATCGCACCCACACCGACTAGCCACCATTTTGTCTTCTGCAGTTTTCAGCTGCTGAATATTTCCCTCACATTTCGCGTCGAGTTATAAATCCGGAAAAAACTCCGCGTTGTCATCGCGAGAGAAAAATCTGACAGAAATTAAATTCGTTCTTTTGTCTTTACGCCTTTGTTGAGGATGGTCACTACCTTGGACCTCTGAAACCAAATCTCATCAAAATAATATGCAGACGTAAGTTCCTTCCGCCAACAGAAAATATCGCAAATATAAATTGGTTGGCGCTGTTTTGGGAAGAAAATTTCTGTTTATTCTGATAATCATACGAAACTCGCACGTAATGCTCTGTGGGGGGGGGGGGGGCAAAAAAAATACACAGACGTTTCAGATGTTATTGCCGTCTCTGTCATCGAAGTTGTGATACAGGTAGTCAACACTCTGAAACGTCGATAAACTTGTACCAGACTAGGCGCGGCATTTTCATACTCGCTGCCGTGCAAACCTCAAGCCTCTTTTAACCGTGTTCTTTGCTAAATCTGTTCTGAACTTTTGACTCCAGCATCACAGCATTACTTAACGAAATGAAGGAGTCCCGACCTCACCCTGCAGTTTCGGTTTTTATTAGGCTCGTCATATAGCCATTAAATCGGAAGAAAACGCGAGGCCAGGAGATGGATTTATAGGCCGAATGAAAATGTTTGTTAGCTGGGAACTTTTTCGATGTTATTGTACCCGTGCATTTCTTACTACGAACAATAAGGGGAAGACGTCAATACTAGAGTGGCACAACTGAATAGGCTTGTTTGTGTATTGGTAGTTTATTTAACGACACTGAATATATAGAATCGCATGATAGGATGAAGATTGCTGTCTTCTGGGTTATTGCGCTGTGTAGTCTGGTCGATGTTAACCAACGTTTCAGAGGTCATATTGCCTCCGTCATCAGGGCGATGAATATACTACACAGCGCAATAACCCAGAAGACGGATATCTTCATACTCACCGCTGTGAGAACCTCAAGTCTTCCATGATAGGATGATTGTTGAACAGTTTATTAAAATGCGTGGTAAACGTAAAGGTTGTGGAGTAAGTGCAAGTAATATCCCGGCGTTCCTGAAGGGACTGAGGAAAATAACAGGAAAAATCAGTCAGGAAAGGTAGTCTCGGGGTCGAGATTTTGAAATCACCGCATGTCTGAATGCGAAGAAGAATTGGTGACCTTTTGGCGTGCTGTCTGACTATAAGGACAGCTCTTTTTAATGTTATGCATTTATTATGTTGGTATAATTCACTGTCTGGGACATAAGTAGCATGAAATATATGCCTGCTACATTTGGAAGTTGGCTGTATTTCTTCAGACCAATACTATTTTGGGCTCGTTCTTTAATTTCTCACATTCGGATCCTTACGTGGGCATAACTGCCTGTGCTTGTATATTCTTTCCTGTAGAATTTTAAAGAAGGCTAATGTTTCATGTAGTTATGAAACAGTGTATCAGAGTTTCTTTAGCTGTAATTTAGAACACCTAAGTTTCAATTTTAAACGAGGTTTACCCAATACTATTTTGGGAGGATTTCTTTTATCTGCTGTCCGCGGTAACGTATTTTCTCACCTAAATCAACCTCTTTGTTTTCAGTACTTGGTGGCCGGCTAATATGTTATCACTTATAGACTGGCGACGAGTGGGTAGTCCTTCTTGAGAGTTTGGCGTTTTACCTAACGTCGCAAAGAGCCTCTGATTGGAACAGACTCTTTGGCCTTGTTGTTTGGTCTACATGATAATTATTTTGAGAGCGATTGAGTCAGAAAGGATGAGGCGGGCATTGTACGCGTGGTGGAAATAGGACGTGCATACAAAAGTTTGGTCGCGAAAGCAAGTACTTGGGAGAACTGTAGGCCGCAGATGAGAGGATTGATCTCAGGGAAATGGGCTGTGGGCTGGGCTGAACTGATTTCGGGATATGGTTCAGTGTCGGGATTTTGTAAATACGGTGATGAAACTTAGGTTTCTATAACAGGAGAACGTTTCTTTCTAGCTGAGCAAATGTCGATTGTGAAAAGAAGTATCTGTTCTCTGCTGTCAGTTCACGTGTTTTAGTCCCATATTTCGATGTTGTTCTGAAGTTGAAGCGCGTTTGATGGGACTGCCTGGCACTCAACAGAAGAGGCTGTTTTATGTTCGGTCTTTCAGGCCGAGAAGAAAAGTGTTCTGATGTGAAGTGGTAAACCTTGATTCAACGCAATTAAAGTTAAGAAAAGTAACAGTGAACATTTTAATTTGTGCATTAATTTCCTTTCTATCAGGTACAATAAAACCCTGAAGTAGAGTGTTATTTTAAATGTTTGAAGCGAATTATAACGTTTTAAAAACATCGTCCGTTTATTGAAACCTCAATCAGAAATGAATAGGCGATACGAGTAGATGTTAAAGCAGCGTTTTAGGGAGACTTATGACGTAAAACTGTTTCTTAACATGAGTCCAGGCTTCATTACCCTTTCGTCGTTCTTACTGCTGACTGAACGATTAGAGTTCGTTTCCAGGGACAGTCGTTATTTACTTTCGTCGTTCTTACTGCTGACTGGACGATTACAGTTCGTTTCCAGGGACAGTCGTTATTTCTTCATGTAGCTGTCGCATTGAAACGGACTCGGTTAGCCCATAGTGTGTCGCTGTAGGTATTATTTGGTTATAATATATTAAACAACAATTTAGTTTATAAATCTTAAAACCTTGTTGAATATTTATCAAAAATATATAAAATCATGCATACAAACGAAACTGTTTACACTTTGAAAAAACACTTAGTGCCAAACGCGTTTCGACCTCATTAGGTCATCGTCAGTGGCATACAATTCTTAAGACGGTGTTCATTTCTTTATAACAAACCCTCGTATTACGAATTGTATGATTTTAATAGAAAGACAAATGAATTAATGTTTTTGCTACTGATGATGACTTTGTGAGGTCGAAACGCTTTTGGCAATAAGTGTTTTTCAAAGTGTGAACAGTTTTGTTTGTATGCATGATTTTATATATTTTAGATAAATATGGTTTCTAAATGTTATTAACTGGCGATTATTTGTAATGGGCATTTAGCGATTTTTTAAGTCGTATTTTACATAACATTTCTTTTGTGACGGATTTAAAAATTCTGCTTGGATCTTCACACGTAGGACGTTCTCCGCCTTCCATGTAATCTTGTTATATTTTTATTATTATTTGTTGCATTTTCTGAAACTCCGGTTAATGAGTTTATTCGGGTCCAATTAAATCTCCAAACCGGCCAACCAAGTGTAATGACGTGACGAGCCACTCTTGATAGGCTGTTTCCCCCACACACACAGTACCTTCATCCTTGAAGTGCACCCTGAGAGGACCTGAGGTCTACTTAGGCCTATGGTATCATTTGTGCCGGAAGACCCTGTCTCATCAGTAGTCTTTTTAAAAAATTCTGAATCCTGCTTCGTCAGTGATGGTTCTCTGGGAGTACTGTAAGTTTCCTTTTAACCACAGTAACGCATATCATGGTTGTAAGTATGAATATTCGAATAAGCCCTAAACACAGTCTCTACCTTCTTGTTTCAGGTGCTCAAATACTGCGACCATCTGCACGGCAAGTGGTACTTTTCCGAGGTGCGCGCCATCTTCTCACGCCGATATCTGCTGCAGAATGTTGCCATCGAGATCTTCCTCGCCAGTCGCAGTGAGTACAGCTGCGATAGCCTATTTCATGTTGACTATTAACTGAGTCTAAGTCTACTAGAACTTGATATCACACTGACCATTGAACGATGATTGGTGGATCCTGCGCACAAAGGCTCGAATTCCAAACTGTAACAGACAGCTTTTACCACCGTTCCATATTAAGTCTGCGGTAAAATTTCTTGAGCAGTTGATGGTTGTTTTAAACTATAAATAAATTCCCTGATTTTATGGGAAATGGAAATTTGTCGATGTGCTTATGAGACCTTCCATTATATTCTTTCTTGTGCAGTTCAGTCCAGTTCACATCTTCACAACCTGTTTGTTGAATGTTTGTTTGAATATACTCCTATGTAAGTCTGCGTCTCACAAGTGGTATCATCTCCCCCAAACAGACCTCCATGTTATTATTACCCTAGGCCGTTCTCACCCTCTTTGCTACTGAGTCCCTCTTTTCAGTTGTCACGTATCTCCATATTTGGTACTTGGATTTTTTTAAAAATTTTGCCTTATCGTAAGTAGGCCTGCTCAATGAATTTCATGTCAGTTGCACAAAATTTATTCCATTGAAACTATTCTACTCCATTTCAAATGGAATCCTCATGAAACCAACGAACCTCAGTGAAAATTGGTCTCTGGCCCACGGAGGCAGGGGCGCCGGGCGGGAGGTTCCAATGAACCGCCCGTGGAGGCGGTGGGTTCGCCCACCCCGAAAGGGGGTGGGTTAACCCTAGCCTCTGAGTTTTCGTAGGGAATTAAAACAAACCTCATACAGCAGATAACGTCTTGCGCCCTCTGTGCCGGAAGACGCTAGCTGTAGGTTCCTATGTTCCCGCACAGAGGGCGCAAGACTTTATTCTCTGCTTTATGAGGTGTCTTGATGTTCGCGGGTTCAAAGCCGACCGAGGTCGATGGATTTTTAAGGGTTATAAAATCCGTAGCACAACTTTCTTCGGAAGGAAAGGTAAAGCATGAAACGAGAAAAATTTAGCTAACATTTCTCACACCAGTCTCCTGATTCACTACTAGATGGCTCTAGCAGATAAATCAGGATTGAGTAGAAATTGTGAAGAGGCAGTGGGCTTGTCACTCACTACTCATAAATGCACACTTCGAAGACAAGGAAACCTCCCGCATGGGAGGCCAAGACCCGACTTCGGGATGTCGCGCCCTTGCACGGAACACTTGCCATATGGTATCATTACTGAGGACTTCTTTCTGTACGTTACGTTGTTTTCCAGAACGATGTTTGTGAGGTCTTTGTCAGAGAGCTGAAAAGATCACAGCAATCATGAGACAGTCCTTTAGATAACGCAGATCTTTGATTACAGTCAGATGAAAAATTGCACCTTGTCCTGACTGATCCTCGCAGTCTAGAGTATGACTGCTTAGCATTGATGTATGTAACAGCCCGTAAAGATATATGTGACCGGATTAAAGTTGTTCTGGGGGTCGATACGAACCACTCCTCTCCAGTTGGTCCAGAGGAAGCTGTAGCAGCGCTATTTCCCGGGGCTCGCGATCTGGCATCATCCATCACCATGGCGACTGCGGGTAAACCCTGTAGGGCTCCCTCCCCTCGTGGTAATCTCACAATCCAATTCGGTGTGCGGGCACCTGGAACGGATGCACATTCGCGTTGCTCGTCTGAACCCAGCCTGGAGCCGCACGTCGGCGAAACGTCCCCAAGATGAATGTGAGACCTAACGTACGTGAGGATCGTATACTTGATTTATGTTTTTCGATTAATGAGAGGGATAGACGATTATCAAGTATACACGTGATTGCAAAATGAGTTTAGGACGGAGGTAACTGGTAACTGTTAAGCCTGTGGCCTCAAGGAGGGAAACAAAGAAAGTGGAGAGAAACAGATGATGGTGGCACGTACCTTATTGAACTTTTAACTGTAAGCTACAGAACACGGTCTTATGTAGTTGGGATCAAGATCTGAATGGGCATCGGTAAATAAATACGCTTCGAAGTGTCACTTTGTCACGGGGTAATTTTATTCCTGACCCTGGGTTCAGCTTTTGCTTGTCACGTATAATTGAAGGCATCGCCACGATTCAGCTTCTGAACTTTCATGTAGTTATTATTCTTGTGGTGAGGGTTTCCCGCCCTCTTTCGCAGTTCATTGACAGCAAATCTCCGACCTCTACGTGTTAGAAGGAGACCTATATTTGTGTCTGTTATTTTCCTTAACAGTATTTCTTAAGTAGAACTGTCCGTGTCCCAGGTCAATGTATTTCTTATAAGTAGACTATATGGTCTTTGAAGTAGACGCATATCACGAACTGCACGGATCGGTGTCATCCTTGGTAAGTGTTTATGCAGTTTCTCTGACATTAGCCTTTCAGGAAAGACTTCTCCATGGACCTCGTGTGCAGTTGAAAATTTACATGCGTTATAAAGAGGCTTATAACGCACAGAGGAATGTAAGGAGAAATTACATTACTTGCGTTATTTTCGAAGCACGGAATTGTTGTTGTAAGATTTTCACAGTTTTTTTTACGTAGTACCTATTTCGATGGGGCAGAGACCTTCTTGAAAAACTCAGTGGTCGGTCAGTAAATCCAAAAATTCCTCGCTTTGCTTCAAACACGAAGGTTCATTACCATGTCTCTGCCGAAAGTCTAATACACGTCTTCCCACTTTATATCCCTAAAATGCATTTAATATCAGCATCTGCGTCTAAGTCTTCCTAGTGGTCTCTTTCCTTCAGTTTTTCCAACTATAATATGGTATGCATTTCGCATCCTCCCTATTCGTGCTACATGACCGTTTTCTGCAGCATCCTACCCCTCTATCCCTCTCAGGTCAAAATGTTATCATCAGTACAGTCATCAGACGTGTTTAATCCGTTCTTACCTTCATGTGAGAGACCACAGTGTCCACTCTAAAAGCTACTTTTGCTGACATCAGCTGTCCACATTTCTTGATAGAGAGTTGATGCTCGGCGTAAGATACAGTCCTTAATAAGATCTAGGTATTTGTTTAAAACATTCTTTCCGGGCCGTGTATTTCTATATGGTGGATGCTCGACGAGTAACAAGGTAAGATGGTTTGAGGATCTGTGATTGTGACATGTGATGTGTGGTCAGCTGCTGTTCATATCTTCGATAAATGATCTGTACCATAACCAGTGCACGAAGAGTTTGCTTTGAAAACCTAGTTGGAAGGAATAATGTGGGGAGCATCATAGGATAATTCGGAATTAATGTTTCTTTTAAATAAATTTATTTTGGAGATGTGAATTGGTTTGAACTGGCACATGGTAGGATAATTACTGTATTTTACGACGAATCATCTGACTCCATAATGGAGATATTTTTAATCAGATAAACTTGTGGAAGAAGGCTGTATCGTGGAGCGAGTGTGTGTAGAAATGTTAAACATTTCCCACGAGTTATCTCTTTTAAAAAGCACTTAAATCTTATGATCTGGATGTATACGGAGTTTGAGTTGGTCAGGTGAAAAGACGTGTCCAGCCATCATCAACTAACTTTTAGTGGCTTTTTAACAGTGCAAATAATACGTTGCAGCGGAAATACTTCATTGATACAACGTAATGAGTCTTACGTGATCCTACAGTTTTAAAATTATACCCTGCAACGTGACCGTGCCCGCTAATCTTTTTTCAACGTTTCATCCCACTTGTGGTGTTGAGTAACGAATGAGATTTCTGTGGTAACCGAATGCCCTGTTAATAATGTATGGCGTTTATACGTGTCGCAAATTTTAATGGAATTTTTTGTTTTGTCCAAACTGGAGTTCGCAGGGGGAGTTACATTGTCTTTGTTCACTAACGCGATTTTGCGGACATGGTTTGATTAAATAATTAGCACGGTAGAATGCGACACTGTTTTCTGGAGGATATCAAAAGGCCCGACTAATGCTTTAACCTATGCTGTGGAATGTATAAATACTGTCGCCCACTGATTCATTTTTTGTTACGTAACGCGTTAGCAGTGTAATGGTATGTAGAGTGGACGAGAGTGTTTGATTGATTGATTGATTGACTCATCCATACATTCTTAGGTTATTTAATGACGCAGTATCAACTGCAAAGGATATTTAATGGCGTAATACATTTAAATGTGATTCTGAATTGTGAGGGAATAAAGGTTTTGAAAGAGGCGATTGCAGCTTTGCCAGTTCTGAAGCAATGCCTCTGCATTTCCCTGAAGAGAATACTGAGTAAAACCACATATTCCGTCAGGATTGCCGGTTAACTCAGTCGAAATTCGAAATGTGTACCTCCTGAATACAGCTTTCGAGAGTTGGCTCTAATGCCTTCTTTTGGTGGTGGGTTGTCATTATACTGATTGAATCTTTATAATTTTTATTGGCGATATTTGGCGATTGTGCGCAGGGATTTCATTTAGTTGATAACTCTACTACCAAAAATTATATACAGAACTTTTTTTTACAAAATTGTCTGTACCGCATAGCCTAAGTTCCCTTGCTCTACCTGTAACAATTTCCATTATAAGAACGAAAGATCTCGACATGAAGCATGTAATCGTGTGTAATCTTTGAGATGTGGCAGAACATAAGAATATCCCCTGCCAACACTTGACACTGTAAGCTAACGATTTATAACTTTCCACAAATATAATAGCCTATTCTAAGTTAAGAGTTTCCTAATCCTCTTGACGTCGCACCAGAATGTATCCGGTTCCTTACATCACATCGAATCACGTAAAACTACATGTCGAAATTGACTTGTGAGATACATTATAGTAGTTATTTTTGGATGTGTGTGTTATGTTCGTACATATTATGTTCATAACTATTATATTTCGTACTGATTTGTTTCTAATTACCTGGAACCGATACCCTCAACATCGAGGGTAACGTGTTGAACAAGATCTCATTGCTGTTGCAACTAGCGTTATGTGGGCTTATAGGGACGTATTGGAGTTCAAAAAGTCGCGTCACATTCGTGAAAGATCACAGGTCGGGAGTAGCTCTTATCCAACAGATTTGTCCGTCCCCACG